ACTCTATTAATTAAAAAGTGAATATAAAAAAACTTATATGTTATATTAATTCAACATTTTTAATATTGCAATAAAAATCCACACACATCCGCAAATAAATATATTACACATTAATCATTCCATAAATAGGATGTTGTTCCTTCTCTTTCAGCAAATATTGTATTTGTCATGTAAATATTGAGCCGTGGATATTTTCCATACGAATAACTCATAATAACTAAAAATGGGCATGTTCATTTAAGAAATCAAATAATAAACTTTGCTATTGCTTACTTAATTACTTACGTACTTAATACATCTGTATTAATCACCAGTTTAAAATTTAGAGATATCAAACGTTCATTTCATATGTAAATTTTACGATTGATTCTTTACCATTTAAAAAAAAAACAATTTTTTTAGTAATAGCCCACAGTGTTGTGCATTTAAAATGAAACAAGAAATAACACTTTATTGTGTAAACAATAGTGTTGCAACAGACCTCTGCTTCTGCTTACGCAATTGCGGAAGTTCCGCATACATTTTCACATCCGCTTCTGCATCTGCTTCAGCATATTTATACCGGAAGCTTATCGGAACTTAACAAAATCTTATTTCTGATCTTTTTGAAAATCAATATATTGAAACTTTTTTTAATTTTTATTTGTTGGTTGAACTTGACCGTTTTCAAAACAGGATTTAAATGGAATTGCTCGTTGCAAAGCTGAATGTTGTGCAGGTGCTTGCGCTAGCTTTTAGCGACCCCTCTCTAACATTGTGAACGTATTATTATCAAGTATTAGCGTCAATGCAGCGTTACAGCCGGCAAAACTTTGTTAATAAAAATATTGTTCCCGTGCAAATAACTTTATTATAGTTTACGGCTTAAATCTATTTCCTAATATTTCGTATGTTGATATTTTCCAAATATGATTCTCAGATTACTTCGCTACTTTAATTTAAAAACGTCCAGGACTTTCAGTCCCCTCTTAGCCAGTTCTCCTAATGATTTCATTTCGAAAATACGACTACAGTTAAGACGTTTATTCATTTTGAATGCTGTTTGCTCAGTGATGTAAATTTTAAGTTAAATGTGCAATTTTGAAGCCAAAAAGAAGTTCCATTTGGGATTATTTTGTTGATATTAACGCTGCAAGTGCTAAATGGAAATTTTGTAACAAAATATTCGTGAAAAGGGGGCACGACCACAGCTCTGTTACCTGAAATCATTGCACTTCCGGTTCTGCATCCGGTTCCGTTTCCGCTTCTATAAAAAATTTCTATTTACTTCTGTTTCCGCTTCTATTTCCGTTATGACACTTCTAAATGTGATCATTGCGCTGTTCATAAATCACAATATGAGCATCGATGCCCTAAAGTTTCACAAATTGAATAAAGAACCTTAAACGCGTAACAACACGGAGAAAATTAAATTTTTATGACAACGCAAAAATTACAATTTTCGATTGTAAATGACTGAATTTACAGTGGAAATAGTAGATAAATAGCAATAATCTCAATTTTGACACGTTTCTTTAAATATTATTTCAAGCTTCTTAATTATTACAATTAAATATGTAATATCAACTAAAATATCTAATAAATTTAATTCTGCTGGGATTTTAATTTTACAAATTCGGGTCAAAATTGTAATTTTTATTATTTTCGCTTATGAAGCAACGGGCTAGTGGGATAAATTGTAAATATCGCTTTAATATTTAGGTAAATTTTCGTTTTTCATTTTCTCGTCGTAGAAATTTCTAGAACATCCGAGAGCATTCAAAAGCATTTGGTAGGGCATGTTAAGCAAGATCCTTCGTGGGTTCCAACGTTCGGGAACATCCCGAAACATTCTGGAATGTTGTGGAATGTTCTAGAACATTGTGGACTATTCGAAGCCTTTTTTGTACCTATGTACCTCCTACATTTTACAGTCTATCCATTTATTCCAACTATCACACAATCTTATATCAACTCCCTGAAAGAAGCCCGGGTACCCTGGCTAGTAATAGATTCATGTTTTTTAGTGAGAAATATTGAAATTATATCAAAATGTACATAATATATCTAAATGGTTTACGACCATTTATAAAGAAAATAATTTAATAACAAAAAACAAAAACTTTACTAAATTAAACGTTAATTATTAACTCGGTGCTACTTCGTTTTATAATTACCTCTTTATAAAATTAAAAACTAAGATTTTTCGAATTTTGGATACTTTAAAATATACGTTTCGAAAACAAGAGTACTTATTCATATTCAAAGTTCATNACTGCAAAATCGGTAAACTTTTGATTGTTTATTGTTCTAGCTGTACAAAGGCGTCGTCCTCTTACTATTAATATTTATAAAAGATTCTGATCAGATTGATGATGAAAATCGACCTTATGAATTTGGATTCACAATCGACGGTCAACAGCATCGCTACGAGAAAAAAGGTAAATTCATATGCATAATAATACACACTAAGACATTTGACATTCGATAGTGTGAACATCGCACAACAGAAACCCCTCATAATGTGAACATTATACGTTCGGATCGATATTGCAATTGCATCATTGCTGTAAGTCCCCCATATATCTGGTACTTCCCGAATATATCACCTGGAGATGCTGTTTTATTGATTTATTCACTTTGGGTAAATGCATAGTACGTTGTTGACAAATCTATTACTGCCGAAATTGATTCAAAATTATAATAAAGTGTATGAAGTAATGTGAATACATTTCTCTATTCATCGACAAAATTACCAATCATTAACTGACGTTTTCCATCATTTACCTGTAAAATAAAATAGTGGAGTTGCAAATGTCAAGTTTTCTGGGCGAAACATGAATCAGAATTTGTATCTAACATTAGAATTTTCAGCTTTTTTCGTTAAATACATGTTGTCATTTAACGACAAATATGTAATACAATATTTAGTATTTGTCTTCATCAAATAAAAGAAAATCTTTATGTGGATTAAAAAAAATAACTGTATTCTTGAAGCTTTATTTTTTAGATACAATATTTTTTCTTAAACGGTAATAATTTTTGCATCATACATACGTACCTAATATGTTGATTATGCGAGGTGAAATACTTGACGATTAAGTTCTTGAATAAGTCCTGTAATTACACAAACAGTTTTATGTCTGCCTTCAGTAAAACTTGTTGTTTTATTATTCGTCCTCATTCGCTTTGAATAAAATGTCACCCATAAACACAATATTTAAGAAGCGCTAATTGCAAATTTTACAAGAATTCCAATGCAGAATGTACTTGTATATGGTAACACTTATGTAGTTATTGTTTGCATTTTCTCTAGCTTCATATGGCTCCTTTTACAAAATTAGTATCTGTTTGCTTTTAAAACATTTCACACATGCATATTGATATTTTTAATAGCACACCTGTTTCCAAAAAATCTACTACTTATTCTTTTAAGACAAACTGTAATGATAATAATAAACGGATTATTTATTATAAAATAAAGAGTTCTCGCTCAGTCGAAAATGTTAGACGTGGGTCATAATTTCCGACTCGTTGGTTTCCATCAGCACGCCGCGCCGTAGACAGTTCTGAGTTTCGAGAGTTACATTGTGAAAACGATTAATTTTGCACAAAAAATAGTAAATAACGAAGTTATCAAAAATTAGCAATGAAACGAAATAGCTCGTAACGCCATTTTGGAGAAGTGGAAGTGGCACTACCTAACTGTTAATAAATGAAACTGTGGAATTGTGGTTTAGACCTACATTCGATATTCAGGATGTTACCGTTTAATCGTAATTTTTAATTAAAAAATAATCGAGAGCGTATAGGTTATAATATAGGAAATCGTCGTGATTAACAAAAGTTAAACTAATAAGAAGATTAATCGAACACGAAATTAATAAGTACATTCTTGATTTGAAAGATTAAACAGAAACTATTTACGCAATACACTGTTGTTATCAGATACGTTCTGCAGATGGAATCTAATAAACAATTGCTTGTGAAGCCTTTTATTAATGATATAGTCGTGACTCAGAAAGTAGTAGAAGCCTTGGGTACATTAGTTAGAATTGGAAAAATCGGATAGGGCAATTTTCAGGGACATTCCGTGCAGACTACGGCATTGCCTAGATCGGCTTCACGTTGAAGACGATTTCGTCGTGTTGTGCGAGAAAATGCATAATGTTTATACCAGCGCCTACATTATCCAATAGTCGACGATTCCGTTAACCCTGAATGTAGTAGTAAATTTATATGGGTACTAAAAATAATGTATTAAAATTTATTTCAACAAAAAACAGTATATAAATGTCAAATTTTTGAAATGCGATCCATAGACAATAAATTTTTATTTTATTTGTAACTGATAAGTTAGTTAAGCATAGTAGTCAAAATTAATAAAAAGATATTGTATGATGTTTCCTAGACTCAAAAGTCATTTCTCAAATATGATAAACAAATTCGGCGCAAATATTAAAACGATCATCCTTCTCGCTTTGCAGAATTTTTTTTAAATAAGTAAGTAATGAGTGGGACCATTTTGACGGAATTGAGAATAGATCACAAGTTTATATCGTTTACTTGGTTACAGATAGATTAATTCAAAATAAAAGTCGACAGTTATTTAAGATTACATTGGAATTTCTTCAACAGTTCAATTGAAAATAGTAACATTTACGAATAATTATCCCTACCACAAAAAAGAGTAGCAAATGGTCAATCCCTAATAAACAATTCTCTATAAATTAATATTTACTTAGTAATTATTTCTTTAGCCTCGTTCATGTTTCAGCCAATTAATTTTATTATTCTTGTGTTAACAAATGACAGTATAGTACCGATCAACCCTGAACTAACGATTCCAGTTAACGTTTTCTCAAAAACCTCTGAAGAAGATAATAAAGAATAACTTTCTACGTCGTATCTCAAAAATAGAAAAGTTTCATTCATATTAAATAAATAAATATTAATTGAAATGAATTAGGTTAATACTCACTGAGATTGAGAAGTTGAAATTTCCAATATTTTCAAATATAAACTCGATATCCTTTATTAAATACATTCATTGCACTCTAATGAAGGCTTATTATTCCACAATTAAAGAATTACATAAAAAATTTTGTCCTTAACAAAACCTATTTCTTAGAATTTTCCTATATGAAAACTATGTTATTCATATTATTAATGATTTTATATAAAACTACGATCAGCAAATTTTGCACGTATAGATTTATTATTTTAAATATTTATTTGCTTTTGCTGTTTTAGATGTTAATGGAATTATCCAAGGAGAATTCGGTTTTATTACAGCCGATGGAGTATATCATGTAACAGTTTATGCTACAGATGAAAACGGAAATTTTCGTATTCTTAGCATGAAAAATATCAGACTAAGCGGACGTAAGTAAATAATTTTCAAGGGTCATATATCAATAATTTCTGTTAAAACCATTCAGCACAAAATTTGTACGTTAATCAATACATAAATCACTTAAATAACCAAATCTACAAAAATAAAACCTCCCGGTAGTGTTATTATATTTTTATAAATAATAATTAAACTTCCACAATCAATGTCTTCAAAAATTAACTTTTGTAGCTTCCAAACATAATCTTTCAGCTCGATTGCCATTACTGAAATCTTAACTGACCTTCAGCGAAATCATTTTGCATTCCTGTCTTACCACGAAAATATCAAACAAGATTGCTGGGCACTTCGTTAATGAAATCGGATCGTAAAACTCCACTTGACTGTTATTTCTGTTTACATTTGATATTACATTTCTAATTCTGGACTATTGACTGATTCGTATCATCACTTAGGTAATTGTACACTTGACCTTTAGACATTCACTATTTAAAGTGCAGATAGGCATGCATATATTTGTAAACACATGCAACACCATCAATTCCCTTTCTTGTAATTTTTTACGTTTTGTTATAGTCAAAGGCAGAAATATAGGCACCCTATTATTTTATTTTAATCACATTATAAGAAATATTGTAGACACTTTCCTCATATCATCATCATCATAAGGTCGTAAGTCCTAAGACTGGTTGGACACGCACCTCCACTTTTGCTGGGCCTAAGCCTATCTTCGCATTTCCCTAAAACTAGAACAACCCACATCCTTAACTATTTTCGAACAGTAATCTAATCTAGGTCTACCTCTACCTTTCCTAACTCCCGTTTCTGCCTCTAATATGTCTCTGACTAGACCATTAATGCCTGAGAAGGTGTCCTACCAACGTATCTCGTCTATTTCTCATTTACTTCCATAGAGTCTTCTGTTCTCCTATTCCTTCTAATATTTCTTCATTTCTAACCTTCTCTATGCCTTCTCATTCGCCAGTAACACCACATTTCGAATGCTTCTAACATTTTCTTTTTCGTAGCGTCCACCGTCCATGTTTCGCACCCGTACAGCGCGGCGCTCCAAACATACAACCTTAACAACCGTTTTAGAATCTCTAAATTAACCGTTCGCGAGCATAGAAGTAACTTCTTTTTATTGAAGGCGACTTGACACTGTGCTATGTTTTGCTTTATATCCCTACTACTCCTTCCGTCCTGTCTTATATGACTTCCTAGATACCTAAAATCAGTCACTTCTTCTAACTTTTTTTTCTCCTATCTTTATATTCCCTCATTCCCTACTTTTGTATCCCTTGCATATCAGTATTTTTGTTTTACTTTTATTAATTTTCATACAATACTGTTTTGTCAATACCGCTTCTATTTATTTAAAGCTACCTCTAACTGATCCTTGCTAGATACTGCTATATCATCTGCAAATCTAAGTATACTAATCTTTTGCCCCTCTATATCTATTCCTACAGTTACTTAAATATATCATAGAACTACATTTCATCTTCTACATATGTATAATACATTTCCTCAGCTCTAGATCAACCGAATGCAAAAGCGGCTGCCCCGGCTCCTCCACCAGTTAGAGTTGGAAAAACAATCGACGTAAATAAAGTGCAGACTCCTACAGAAGCACCGAAAACAGCAACATCGCATCAGTTCACTTTAACCAGAGCCTCTACAATAAAACCAGGTTGCAGCGGTTGTGGTATCGTAGCGCCAACCAAAACACCGCCAGCCCCTTCCCAATTTCCATCCAGAAATGGATTCGCAAATGTAAATAATCAGCAGGGATACAATCCTCCTCCTGTTGCACAAAATCCAAAAGTTCCTGCAATATCCGACTCATTTTCCAACGTAAATCAGGAATCAAATGCAATTGCAAATCCTCCTCAATCGCCTCCAGAATCACCAAATCTATCCGCCAACAGCCAGGAACCGCCTCAAGGGGGTGATCTATTCGTAAATCCTTTACGTCCTCCTTACAACGCTCAAAAATCTAGCTCACTTTCATCCCCCAACAATAAACAAAGTCCATCAGTTACATATTCAAACATTCCTCCACAAGTTGGCACAAGTCAAGGTGCAGGAATTGACCAACCCCAACAAAATCTCATTTCAGAACCCCAAAATCCGTACCAATCAAACCCTGCTTTGGAAAGTACCAGTATCAGTCCATTACTTTCTGACCTGGGTCCACAACCAATAGAAGATTCTGAACGATCTGGAAAACAACTGAGTTATGATAAAAATAATTTCTTTGACACAAATAATAGACAGGCACCGGGTAATTCTCTCCAGCCACCTGGGCTTGAGGTATTTAAGAAAAGTCCAGCTTTCCCAGATCAGAAGAAGTCAGGAGATAATTATGTGGGTAGCCCTGAAAATAATTTATCGAAGGCGGAAGTAATTAATGGAGTGATAATGGTCCCAAATAATGATCCAATTCCAATCAAAGACAAGTTTCTTGGTATGGTTAATGGACTTCCTCAAGGAATATCTGAGGGTGATATTGTTGATCTACTGTACAAATTTAATTATACATTGTCTTTCCATGGACATTATGAAAAAGGATTAAAGAATGGAGCTAAAATTGGAGGATATTTCGTCAATGGCCGAGATGGCTTCAGTCGCATTGTTACTTACATTGCCGATGAAAATGGCTACAGACCTAAATTTCAGTTGGTAAATTTGGGATTAAATTCACCAGATACTCCTAAAGAAGGTGACGAGAAAACATTCGGCTTAAAGGGTTTCGAATTCATATGGTATCCAATTAAATAGTAACTTTTGAAATCTTTTAAATGAATATTTGGATTCAACGATTATTCAGTGAAAGAATCCTACCTGGTAGAACATGTTTTTAGGAATAAAGATAATGTGTTAACGTTTTTAACGATTTAACTAAATACAGTAGAACCCGATAAGATAAAGACCAAGGAAAACGTAAAATAATTTGAATTATTCAGGTTTTTACTTACTAACAGTTTAAGTTTAAGCTTTAAAATTATAGATCTCCAGTGACTTAGCAAACTCTTCAGCTTTTCCCTTTATTATAGGTTCACTAACACTAATGTTTTTATTTCTACACTGTCTAAACCATGTAAACAACAACTTTCTTGCGATTCAAATCACTTTTCACTGCTTACTGAGGTGCGACGCCCAAATTATTCCTGTAAGTTATAAAGGGTTTTTATTTTAAGTACCTAATAAAGGTTTTGGACTCCGAGAGGAAGGAAACACAAAATGTTACGAATTTATAGAGCTTATTACGTTATCGAAGTTTAGGTTATCAAGGTTCTACTGTACCATGTTAAAAAATGTATACCTACTATTTATTTATTATTGTTGCCTAGCACATGGCGTAATTATTAAAATGTCTNAAAATTATAGATTTCCAGTGACTTAGCAAACTCTTCAGCTTTTTCCTTTAGTATATGTCCACTAAGACTAATGTTTTTATTTCTACACTGTCTTAACCACGTAAACAACAACCATTTTTTTAAATTAGGGTTTCTATTTTAAGTAATAGAGGTTTTTGATTCCGAGGGAAATGGAACACAAAATTTTACGAATGTATACAGATTATTACGTTATCGAGGTTTAAGTTATCAAGGTTCTACTGTACCATGTTAAAAAATGTTTACCTACTATTTATTTATTATTGTTACCTGGCACATGGCGTAATTATTAAAATGTCTATGTGCAATGAACTTAATATTGTATATACATTGTTTAACTTACGCGTTTGTCTGTTGCTATTTTTAATAAAAAATAAATTATTATTTTTGATATACTGGTCTTAAGTGTATTATTATTATTGCAAATTAATTTTCTTAAAACATGTATGTACAAATGTACATATTTATAAAAATAGTTTTGTAATTCTCATAGCTCCAAATGAGTAGCAGCCATTTTGGGTGGTAGTTATATTTATTATATCTTTACAGATCGTTGTTGAAAAACTTATCGTAGTTCCAGATTCAGTTTCTTCGTCCTTTATTGAGCCTTCTTGCTTCGTTAAGACGTTTATAAATGTTTATAAAAATTACTAGGATAGAATTCTTCATCATCTTATAACATCTAAAACTGCGATCCATTCAACATTTAAATTTCTTTTGTTATCAGTAAATGCACTTCAAACTTCCAACAGATGTTCTGTTGACTATTTTATAAAATTCCCTGTAATAACCCTTTTCCTCACAGACCTTCTACACAACTTTGTGTTATATTTTTTATGTCTGCGATAGAAATCGAGATGAATTACAAAGAGTATGAGAACAAAGAGAATTACGGAGATCAATTAGGAAAAGGAAAAAGAGGATTAAACTGATTGATCCTGTTTTCTACACCTTTAAAATGTCACTCATTTTCAATTCTTGATTTATTATAATAGGTATTATACAGAAAGCTTTAAGGGTTGTAATGTCGCCTATTTACTGCCGTCCACTTAAAGACACTGTCCATTTTTTTATTTAACTTTAGAAGATAATAAACCTTTAATCTTCTAATAGGTAGTAGATAACTACGTCGTATGGTAAATTATATTTTCTAGAACGCTAGATATCTGTTATCAATCACCATACTCAGAAAAATGCTGTAAGAAAAATTACTATAACGTTGTAGAGGTCGTTTTGTAGAAAATGCAATCCAGATTTGTAGTAAAGTTAACTAACGCATTTTCTCTAGCTTCATATGGCTCCTTTTACAAAATTAGTATCTGTTTGCTTTTAAAACATTTCACACATGCATATTGATATTTTTAATAGCACACCTGTTTCCAAAAAATCTACTACTTATTCTTTTAAGACAAACTGTAATGATAATAATAAACGGATTATTTATTATAAAATAAAGAGTTCTCGCTCAGTCGAAAATGTTAGACGTGGGTCATAATTTCCGACTCGTTGGTTTCCATCAGCACGCCGCGCCGTAGACAGTTCTGAGTTTCGAGAGTTACATTGTGAAAACGATTAATTTTGCACAAAAAATAGTAAATAACGAAGTTATCAAAAATTAGCAATGAAACAAAATAGCTCGTAACGCCATATTGGGGAAGTGGAAGTGGCACTAACTAACTGTTAATAAATAGAACTGTGGAATTGTTGTTTAGACCTACATTCAATATTTAGAATGTTACCGTTTGTTTTGCGTTTTTCGCAGTGGTGGTTGTAGTTGCGGATGAAACGTCAGTTTCAGAAAGTAACTTGAACAATTCGACTTCGCTAGCGGAACTCGAACGAAATAATCCGGAACTGGACGTCGAAACGAATGCAAATCTGACGTCCGAAGACGATGCGTTGAACGCGAATCGTGACAAACGAACATTNTTTTTAAAGTAAAAGAAAAACAACCTTTTATATACTTTGTATTATATTTGATTATAGCATTTCACGTTGAGGTTGTTCAGTTTTTTTTTATTTCTTGCAAAATTTTCAAAATCACTGGATTGTAGTTTTTCCCATATCCGGGAAGAATATTGAATTTAAGCGGCTGCTGTAATGATAAACATAAGTAAGTAATTAAAAAATATGTGTTTATTTTATGTCATTGGGTTTTCTCTGTGTTGAGATAACTTTTTTCGTCTGGATTTTCCGCGCTATTATACTATACACTAAAACTTTTTAATCGTCGATTTAATTTTGTGGAAATTGAGCAATTTGAATTGTTTATACAAAAATATTTTTTTTTCCTGAAAAACAAACAACTATGCTTCAAAACATTACAATAACTTGCTGTAAAGTTGCCTAAATCGAACAGCACCAATTACAGAATGCTAATTCCTCAGTAACATGCTTTCAAAGAAAGTGTCACTATCACTTTCGATGTTCTTGAAATTTGTAGTAATGAGAATTGGCCCAGCCAACATTCTTGCGTTGAAATTTAGGTTCGTTTTATATTCTGTGCCCCTCCTTTTACTTGACATAAACCGTATTATTTACAATACATTCACTTGCACCAACGCTAACAATGAATTCGTTGTGGTACATCCGGCACTTAGCGAAAACCCGTCCTTTGGGCTACCGATCATAAACTTTATAGTAAGTAAGCAATTAAGTACTTACTTACACCTTCTAATGTGAAAGGCTACTGATTTTATCCCCAACATTCAAACGAATTTCAATCGACATCAAATAAAGGGGAACTTCTCAATTCGACTGCATTTTTTTGCATATGTACACTCAGAGAAAACTGTAGAACAAACTTCTACAATTGTAGAACTTTTCATTACAAATAGTAGCGAATATAGGGACAGAAACAAGTTGTAGTGAAAATTAATATAATATTGTAATTACTTTTTTGTCTACAAACTGTTTGTCTCTGTACCACAACGTTAAACAATATGTACTACAAGTTTCTCTTAAAAATTACTTTTCATTGTAGGATATTTCAATACAATAATTAGAAAAAAA